GGTATAAACTGCAACTCTTCCTTCCCGTGCTTTCAGGTGGTTGGAGTGAAAGATTGGCGGCTGGGCGAGCAAGTTTGTGCTTGCATCAAGCTGAAGGAGGGTCAGAGTTCCAGTGCAGAAGAGATAAGAGCTTTCTGCAAAGGCCAGGTAGGAAGAGATAAAACATAAGACTGCTAGCACCTGTAACCACTTTAAATTGAAGCATGACTGTAGCTTGCCCCCTCTTGCCTTTAGATTTCTCACTTCAAGATCCCACACTATGTGTTATTTGTGGACAGCTACCCTCTCACGGTCTCTGGAAAGGTAGGAAACGTTCACACCAACATGCCATCTGTTTCCAGCATGCATGTATTTATATACTTATATAATGCATAATTAATATGAAATTAAATGTTTTTTCTAGATCAAGAAGAACATATTAAAGGAAACAATGGAGAAGAAGTTGGGCCTTTAATTTTGTGTCCACGGTTGGAGAGCACCTGAAATGCAGAACAGTGGAAATTGGAACATTTCCATGTTCTTTTTAAATTGTAGTTGTGGGGTGCTATATAAATAAAAAATTATTACATTGTTGTTGTTGTTGTTTTTTTTTTAACCAACCATAAAACTTTCTTAACCAAACTATGAAACTTAAGTTACTGAACTGTTCTGTTTTTTTGTTTTTTTTAAGATCTATGACAACACCAATATTTCACTGAATTAAAAGAAAAATTGTACCATTGTGCAGTGTGACAAAAAGAACAAAACAAAACAAAACACCTTTGGGAAAACGATGCTTTGGAAAAGTAAAAGTAAGCACTCTTTGTGCTGTGTAATCATGAAGCTCCTTCTTTAAACCTACCACCCTTCTAACCTGGGACACTGTTGAATGGATGGTAGTAATGGTGCTTTTCTATTCAGTTTGTGCACTCAACGTTTTTTCTTATTACTAGTCTCATTTACACAGATGTTCAAATTATTGCTCATTTTCTATGTCGAACAATTTGTAACCTTGTAACATTCTCACTCCTGATGGATGCGCTGGGTTCAATATCTTGCTTAAGGATACTTCAACACAAAAGCTGAAAGAGCCAGAGATCAAACCATCAACCTTCTGATTAGTAAACGAAACCTCTCTATATCTTGATTCACTACTACTGTGTACATTTCAAAAAAAACAAAAACAAAAAAAAACAGAAAACATAACACATCCATCATATCAATCTTTATTTAAACAATTTGATATTATAATACAATGGGCTTAACCACTGTACAATAGTAAAACCCATTATCTGAACACATGCCATACAGAATCTGAAATAAATAGGACCTTATTGCCAAATGTCAATATCCACAAAGTGGTAGGCAAAATTGTCATCTATACAAGCTATACACCAACTGTAGAACCAATTTAAGTAACAGGCTCCTATTGTGCCCCAAGTGGCATCAAATGATCAACTAACAATGAATACAAGTCTTTGTGTGAGCCTTTAGGGTGCAAAATGGTGACGCTGAGGAATTAAAGATATGTAAGTGAGGGGATGCAGAGCCAAATATGTAAAAATGTAAGTATTGTCAAAATAACATTATAGTTGTTGTTATTAATGCACCATAACTCCAGATAAAACTGAGGGAAAAAAATAAATAA